ACCCACACCCGCACCCACACCCACACCCACACCCACACCCACGCCCACACCCACAACCGCACCCACACCCACATCCACAACCGCACTCACACCCACAACCGCACCCACAACCGCACCCACACCCATATGTTAAATTGTTCTTTTACTCCTTTTTCTGAAAGAAAGGGTCTATAACACAAAAATGTTTGTCTTTCTATCCAAGTAATCAGAGAATAGTACCATATCAACAGTGGGAAGATGAGATATGCACGAACTACAACACGTTTTATTTGCTCTGCCAAGTTTCGTCAGGTGGTTTTAGAATGAAATAGATTTACAGAATAACTTATTAGTACAAACTTATTCAACGCTTCTATCATTTGTCAATGTTGAAAATAACAGTGAAGAAATGAGCAATACGCAATCGCTTTAATAAATGAAATGATTGTCTTTTCGTCGGTTGTCATAAAAATAACAACCTGACATTGTTTGCCTGTTTTATATGTCGATAATGTGGAGTAATAGGTGTCATCATAATTTTGTTGCAGTTTCTCCACAGAAAACGAATAGATGCTTTCGTTCCGTTTAATGAAAGTTAGGTATTGGTGTTTGCGGATACTTCGGAGACCTTGAATAGACTAGATTGCTATTAGCATTTTCGGATTGGTGAAAGTTATATTCTTACTTAATAAGTATTTATTGGTTTGGAAAATCCTTTTTTTGTTTGATGTTTTGCTATTCTAAGGCACTGAATATAAGGAAAATAATCCGATAGATTCTAAATGTCAAAAACATATTGAAATAACATAGTTGGAAAGAACGCGTTTTTTTAATCGATGTCTAGAATGGTATTGTTCAGATATTGAAAGAAGAGTAAGTGAATAATTTAGAATGGAAATAGAATCATTTTGCAAAAGATAAATGTGAACGGTCAATATGTTGCTATGGCAGTTGTTGATGTTGCTAGAACGGTTAAATTATTCATCTTGGTTGGTCATGCGAGTGGTGACGTCTTTTTGACGTCAGCTGAGTTTTGGATTGCTTAGGTTTCCTAGAACAAAAACAGACATTCTTAAATGTTGATCGACTAAAACAAAAGTATTTCTCTCAGAGTTTCTGAAATTCATCCAAATTGGATATTTACTGGTATGAACTCTCACACTATATTATGTCGGCCTCGAAAACGATCGTATATTTGTAGTCAATACGAATGATCGGACTGATATTGAGCTTTTCGCTCAAACAATCAATTTTATAATCAATAACTTACTTTTTGGCATGGATTACTTTACACTCAGTGATTTGGATGAGTACTCGTTCAGAAACGATTATGTTTATGGCATGATAGATTGTTCGGTCTCTTATCTTTTTCATAACCATGTATGTAACTGTCATCAATTTTCAATATATCACTTATACCAATGATGATAACTTTTACTCTCAGTCTTTTGGAAAAAGAATTCTTCTACACATGAAGTTTTTATTAAAAAGGCAACGAAATCGACGAATACATCAACTCTTTTCAGGCAATCGCTTTTTGTGCATCAGTGAGTTTTAGAAAATTACTTATTGATCGGGATTAAAAAATCAAAGTAAAATCATAATATTTCTCTCAGTTGATATGCATATAAAATTTTTCATATTACGCTATCGTTATGCAATTCCATTCTTATTACTTGGCTTATTGTAATACTCACGCAAAAATTATACAAGAACCATAAGATTCAAAACGTATAACAATGGCAAGAAAAGCACGTGCCAAATTTCCAATTATGATTAGTTTTAAATAAATTTTTGATTGCTGGATTCGGATTTTTTGCAGAAGAAATCTTTCATAATCATCACTTAGATAGACAAAGCCTCCAAAAAAAGCACTCTTTAAAACATGTTAAGATTTCGTTATAGATAAACTGCCGTAAAAATGCCGTTTTACCAAGTTATTTAACGTGTTCAATAGTTTTATGACATGAACTCGCTAAAACAAGTAGTTTTAATTAAAATTTATGCGGTTCTATTAGTTTTGTTCGTTTTTCTTGAGCCAATTACTGTGTTAAGCATTAACTAGTTAATTTCTGTTTCCTCAACTGATTTGCTCCCTATACTGTCATAACTCATGATAGAGATGAAGATTATTTTAGAACCTAATAATACAATTATAGAATGATATGATGTTTTAAATATAAATGTTAATATATTTCCCTTTAAGTAGATGTAAAAGGCTCATAATAATTTAGTTAGACCCTTTGTTTTGAAGACAGTAGAAATATTTGACTGATTCTTCTAATTGTGAGCGGATTATCATAATATACAAAATTTTTATGTGAATTTGATCAAAAAAGACCAAAGCTAATCAGATATTCATTTTATAATTAGCTTTATTCAACCAACTTTTAATCTTTTCTTAGTATAGATTAATTATTGAGCTTTCGATCAGGCTTCGAAATGGGCCGCACGACCCGACATTATAATGCTATCTTTTTTTTTACTTTTTATCAAACTTGATGTGTGTCATAAGTGATTGAAATTACTAAAAGACTTTTATGATAGAAAAACTACATGGATTTCAATCCAAGTAACACAATAAACTATAAAAATGGCTTAAGTTGATCATATCTCTCGTTCACACGTAGTGCTACGTTAATTAATGTGAGAATGTGATCAATAGAAAAAAGAATGCGTGAAAAACAAATCACCGTTAAGAGTAGGAAGGACAATTAACACTTTATTTAACTGTTCTGTTTTGATTAGTGATAGAATCGATGGAAAAATATCAGTTTTTGGAAATACAGAAATCCTATGAGTTTTGTATCATTTTTCTGAAATAAAGCTTTTTCTGGAGATTGCATTGACTGAGCTAGCTGATGATTAATATTTTGAGTCCGGGATTATTTTTATATAGTAAAAAGGACGGGGAACGGCTGATAGACAAATCGGTCTTATAAAAATTTTTTGATTCGAAAGCCCAACTATGTTATACCAAACGAAAGAGTTCAATGAGTTGAGCATTTTTTGTGACAGAACTTGGTCTTTTAAATGAAACCATGAAGAGTTTTGTGTGTGGCAACTACTAAAATGACTGAAATTTTACAAGTTAGCTTACCCAGAACTCTTCATGGTTTCATTTAAAAGACCAAGTTCTGTCACAAAAAATGTTCAACTTACCGAGCTCGTTCATTTGGTATAACATAGTTGGGGTTTCGAATCAAAACATTTTTATAGGGTCGATTTATCTATCAACCGCCCCCCCCCCCCCCTCCTTTTTACTATACAAAAATAATCCCGAAAGGAACAACCAATAATCATCAATAAGTATAGGCAATCTTAACGCACAAATATCCTAAATACAAATGTCCATACAATTCATATCATTAAATAATCAATAGGCCGCATTTTTTAAAGTTATTCAAGCTCCGAGATCTCAGGACGCGAATTCGCGTCACTCGGACTCAAAGGGTTAAAATGGATGAATTCGTCAAAGCCGAAGAAATTTACGAGACATTTCAAAAGATGATATACGACTACGATTGAAAAGAGCTTGTCCATATCTACCGTATGATAGGATATATGAATTTCATGAAGGATGATCTTTAGAAAGCAATCTTTCAACATTCGATTAAGTCATCTGTCATCGGATGATCTTCAACTCTCGGCGATTTACTACAACATCAGCTCGATTCTTTATCGCCAAAAGGATCTCAAAAATGCTTTAGAACACTACAAGCATGCTCTTATCATTGATTTTGGCATACAGAAGACCAATCCACTGCATATTGCAAATGGTTATAACAACATCGGTGAAATGCATCGACTAATAGGAAATAATGTTCTTGCACTCTCATATTATGAAAAAACATTTGAAATAAAAAGAATCTCTCTTCCATTCAATCGTTCGTCGCGAAATGTTATACATAAAAATGTAACTCATGTCATTGAAAATCTACATCGCTACAACAAGGCTATCGAACACGCATTACGAACAATAAAAATTGCACGTTGAGTATTGAGGCCTACAGTAGCTCTAGGTGAATTGCACTTTTATCTATTGAATCTGCATAACTATATAATAGTATTGCATAAGCATCGCAGAGATCAGATCTAGTTTTTTTATGTAATCATTTTGAGCCAAATACAATAAATTGATTGAGAAACCACTTTTTGATTGAAAAAAAAACAGATTCCACCATCATAAGGTTAATTGAAATCTATTTTGTTTCACTTGAACTATACATTGAATAAGTTTTATTTGATTTAAGTATAATTAAGACAAAAAAAATTGTGTTGAATGCTTCATAAGCTCATAATTTCGTTACTAACGTCTCATTTGATGATCAATACGAAAGTATCAATTAGTCACAAGAAAAATATAAGAATAAAGTAGGATTTAAATAGATAAACTTTTATATTTTTGCTATAAAACTTACTCAAGATTTTGGCATTCGCAAAAAATTATAGTACTAAAGTCATATTTTTATTTGATAATATTTCCATCTAGAAAAATTCATTTTTATATTCTTAAAAGAGTGAAAATTAGACGAAGTTTAGATGAATCTGTCTTCATGAGATTTATTTTCAACTTTATTCACATTTTGATAAAAAAAATCATTTTTTATATAAAATATGTTCAGGAAAATTGAATGATTCTATTTCATTGTCAAATATTGTCAATAATACAATTTCACACTTTTCATGAATACATTAAAAACAATTCTTTCTTTTAGAATTATAAGATTATTAAAAAGAGAAAATGCATTTTGAACACTTTTCAATCTTGATCATCTGTTGAAATCTAATAACGGTAAAAGAGAAAAATTAATTCTGAGAGCGAAAAATTTAAAAAGAAATATTTGATTGTTAGTAAATGAAAATAATTCTAATATTAATATAATTCTCAAATACAAAATTGTTCGTTAAAACACAAAAAACTTTATTGTTTATTTGTTTGTTATGGTTGATATAACTCTGAAATATTTAAATAATTGCCACTAGTAACATATCCACCAGTAACTAAAACATTTCCATTGGTTAATAGAGATGCTGTATGATAATATCGACTATAATTCATACTAACAGTGATTGTCCATGTTCCTGTTGATGAATCATATAACTCAGCAGTATTTAAATAACTACTACTATTACTAAGTCCACCAGTCACTAAAACTTTTCCATTGGTTAATAGAGTTGCTGTGTGATAATATCGAACATAATTCATATTACCAGTAACTGTCCATATTCCTGTTGATGGATCATACAACTCGGCACTATTTAAATAACCATTAGTACTCTGCCCACCAGTTACTAATACTTGTCCATTATTTAACAAAGATGTTGTATGATAACGTCGACCATAATTCAAAGTACCATTGGTTGTCCATACTCCTGTTGATGGGTCATATAACTCAGTACTGGTCATATAACCATTACTACCAGTATATCCACCAATAACTAACACTTTACCATTTGTCAATACACATGCTGTATGATAACCTCGAGCATAAATCATATTATTACCAGTTGTCCATGAACCCGTTGATGGATTATATAACTCAGTACTATGTGTAAAAGTACCTCCAATCTGTCCACCAGTAACCAAAACTGTTCCATTTGTTAATACGGATGCTGTATGATAATATCGAGTATAATTCATACTACCGGTGACTGTCCACGCTGCTGTTGATGAAGTATATAACTCAGCACTACTTAAAATACCACTGCTACCTAACCCACCGGTAACTAAAATTTTTCCATTGGTTAACAAAGATGCTGTATGATAATATCGAGCATAATTCATACTACCAGTGGCTGTCCACATTCCTGTTGATGAATCATACAACTCGGCACTACTTAAATTACCATTAATACTCTGTCCACCAGTTATTAATACTTGTCCATTAGTTAATACAGATGCTGTATGATAATATCGGGCATTATTTAAAGTGCCAGTGATTGTCCATTCTAATAGCAAATAATAATTAAATTTAGTTTAGAAAAAAAATATATGAGTCATTAAATTTCAAAAAAAAATTCATAGTCATGCGATGGAAAACTGTTTGTTATAGTTAATGTGAATAAAATACTTTGAGAGAACGTCTTACATTGTTTATACGAAATTTTAATAAATGAAAATGATACATTACGTGTAATTGATGTTCCTGCAATTGTTGATACAGCTAAATATAAATATTTTTATTTAGAAGATTTAAATGAATATATTCATGTAATATTAAAAAAGTTTTTAAAATTTGAATTTCTTTGCAAAAATATAAAAATCCATTAGATTAATTGAAGATCTTTGACATTCTTTATTGAATTTATAATTAAACAAAAAAATTGAATTTTGTTCTGTATTTTTATCGTAAAAACAAAAAAAAAGAAATATGAAATGGAAGATTACAAGACTTTTTTTTTCTATTTTCTGTCAAAGAGAAATCTTTTATCTCTTGAATTGAAATTTCAATTTATTTGATACAATCTTTTTGTGTAACAAACTGTTAATAAAGGATGAAACTTCATATAGATAATAATGATGATTATTTTGAATATTTAATAAAATAAAACAATGTTAAAATTCTACTTCTCATTCATGCAATAAAATTTTTTAATATTAACTATTGAAAAGATTATATTTGTATTTCTCACTTGTCGTTGATGTTTGAGTTGAAGATGTTAACCAAACTGTAGTCACAACAGATAAAACTAAACCAGACGTGAGAGTACCCAATAATACACCAAGAACAATTGGAAAGAATGTTTGATTTGTTATGAATGTATTTTGAGATAGAGATCTCAAAAAAAAAAAAAAAGAATAATATTATAACTAAATAGTTTTGTGTTACTTTTCATTTTGATTAACATTTGTTGTAGAAGTGTTAGTTGGAAATATTTTATTTTCACTTGTCCTTTTGAATAAATTTTTTGAATAAGATGGAGAAGCTTGTGGTATTGGCCATTCACTTATTTGCAAATTTTGACTGTTCATGCTAACAGCAGTCAGTTTTTGTTTTTTTTTAATAATGAATAAATTCCTTTTTAAAAGAAAAAATCGAGCTCTCTTCTCATCGTATTATTATAAATAATGCATATTTTTTAGCATAGTAAAAAAGTATTGGTATGGTATCTTTTCAATTTCACCTTTATTATAACAGATCTCACTTGATGAATAATCTGTACCTTCTTATGAAAAAAAAAATTCATTTTTCTAATCAACAAAGAATGAAATGAGCACATCATATATTGGTTTTTATACCAAATTTTATTCTTCTTTCCAATTAAAATGATCTCTCTAATCACTATATATAAAATTCAAGATGTTCACTCTCTTTTACGAATACCAATTAACCAGTATATAAGAAGTATTTTAGCATCCTAATTGAAGATAAGGTTAACCTTCCATCGTCAGTTTTCGTTGGGATATATTATATACTATAAAAAATTTGCCTAGATTAGGCATATACTAATACTAAAAACAAATCCAAAACATTTAGATTTCATTATGGTAGAAGTAACTGTTAACATAGCAGTTAGAAAGGAAATCGGCCTACCGATCATTTGTTGAAACTTTCAATCTGCATTTTCAGTTAGAGGGTATGTATTGAACGGAATTAACAAAATTTTATAAAACTTTTGATAAATGACTTACAGATTCAGATACCTGCACCAAAAGAAAGTGTCTTGTCATAACTAATAAAATTTTCTGATTTTCAAAAATAGTTATTCTCTTATCTAAAAAATTGAACTCCGAAATTTCAATGCACTCGATTCATATATTTTAATTATTAGCCTGAAGGTGATAAGTTGTTTATATTATCGATCACAATAGTATCTGCTTCGCACTTTTTTGTAATCTTCTAGTAACTAGAATCACTTTCATTACGAGTTACCAAGCAGCTACTACTCTTTTCCATCATGGACTCGTTGGTAATACGTAAACAACCATCAGCCATGGTTGGTTCTCTCTTGATAATATTTCGTCTTGTAAAGAATATTCATGTACTCATGAGAAATATTCCATGAGTGAAGAATGGAGATCCTATTATTTTCGATTTTGTTCATAAAATTCTGCTTGCCTGCTGATGCTATATAGCGGGTCTGTCAACTCGTAACGAGAAATTTACAGGACTTTCGTAACTAAGTTTTGTATTACATTCATAACCAGATTGAAAGACTAATACTCTATAAAAAAAACAGGGTATTCGTTGCAAATACTCTTGCTTACAAAAATCTGTTAAGTCGATAGGTGTGATTCATCCGTAACAACTGTTATGTACCTCAATGGTTCAAACACGTAGTACTATCCTGTGAATTAATTATCTGTATACATTCATAGGTATCACAGTCACTTCTACACATTTACTCTTTCAACATTGCCTATGTGATTGTATGACTATTTCTTGTTGTAGCTGTTGACTTAAAGTCAAGATAATCAATTGTGTACTCTTATATCTATGTTATTTGGGAGTATTGCTCGTTCAATCTTCTCCCTCTCTATGTTTTTCTTGGCTGCTGTTACTTGTTATTGTTATTAGGAAATAAATTTAGAAAAAGATTAAAGTTTGTCTGTATCTATCTTCCGGTTCTCTCGTTCTGCTCTTGAACTTTTTTCGATATAATTTTGATAAGATACGAATCTCAATACGAAACCCTGTCAGCAGCATCTGACTAGAAATCACACTCATTGCTTTAACATTACGATAGCCTTGTAAGAGCAGTACGAAGGCCCTGTAAACATCGATACGAAAGCCCTGTAAAAAAATTATAAAAAGCAGGGCTTTCGTAACGTACCGTTACGAGTTGACACCTTCTCGCTATATACAGTAACGATCGACATAAATTGTTTTTCGTTAAGCAAATGTAAAGCAGTTTAACAAATGACAGCCATAAAATATATGTTTAGTTGCAAATATCTACTAGATTGTCTTTTGAAATGAAAGAAGACAAAATTATTTTGACGAAATCTTATTAAGAGAGATTCTGTCAGACCACCAACTACCGCGGCCGCGGCTAAATTTTTTTTTCAATTTAAACTATATAGATGAAAAGAGCATTTATTTTTACCGACAAATCCAAAATTTTTCGATTTGAAACCATTCTACAAAAACATTAGCCCTTGCCAACTTTTTTTACCCTCTCGATCATCATGTCATTTTAGTCATCAATTCATTGTGGGCCATATTTTGACTTTTTCTCAAAAATGGCTAGAGCGATCGCATTTGTTCAAGGCCAAAAACCATGAAAAACTAGGGGTAGAAACCATCATATTTTTCCTAGTTTTAACGCTTTTGCAATTTTAATTCTCAAACCACCAAAAATGTTTTCTTTATTTCATTTTGTAGAGTTTTTCAAGCCGCATCTAACCATATAAAATTCAAGGTCTGAAAAAACTATCAACACCTCGAAAAAAGGCATACACGAGAGGCCTATAATAGTACCTAATATATGGATATCAAGTAAACACTGACAAGATAGTCAAGAAATCGAAGCACTAATCAAAATAGAATTATTTAATTTGATATCCTTATATTCATCAGCATCATCTAAAACCTCTAAATCCAAATTTTAACGGCATTCAGTTGAAGTGGTGAAAAGTTAGTCCGATCCAACTTTCAAGCATAATTCAGAGAATATCATCAAAAATCATCTCTATGAAGTTGAGTTAGTTTTTTAAGATAACAATAAGTTAGTGATATATTTACTGTAATATACCAAAAGATAGAGAATCAAATGCTGAACGAAATTATCTATTTGCATATTATATATCAATGTACTAATCTAGAGTTATTTGTCAATAACTATATATGACCGTTCATCTTTCCAGTTAAATTCTATCAGTCTTTTACCATTTATTAGCTATCATTCCGTGCTTTTTATGAAACCTTAGCCTGAATATAATTTGACATATATTGTGTAGTTTTTTCTCCTCTACAAAATAATAACAAAAAAGAGTTGAAAAAAAATATTTAGAACGATGTGGAAAAATCGTATATAGTATTGATTAAGTAGACAGTGCTTATAGGAAAAAGAAGATGAACACATTAAATCATAAATCGGTCTGCGATCTTTTTCTCAATATATCATTGAGAAAACTATATAAATCGATAGATTTCACCACAGAAAATATTTTGCTGCTATTTTTAATGTACGTGAATGATATTTTTATGAATTATTTTTGAGATTTCTTAGTATGGCATTTTTTTTACAATGAACTTTTTCATTACGATTTATCGATATATGAATATCGATATGACTGAGTTATACTGATTAATACCAAGTCAAATTCTAGTAAATCTGTCTCACAATTCAGATATGATGACTTAACTACATAAGAAATGATAGGAATATTAGCTTAGAATATCGACTGTTTTGCAAATTATGAACGTCGCATCCATCTCATGTATGAACGTAAATTACATTTTGATACACTATTTGGAGTTTTCTGGAAAAGTAAAATATCTATTTGTGATTTTTTCTACTGTAGTTAAAAATACATGAGGTTTTGACCATGACACGAATATAGACGGGGTGTGGGTGTGGGGTGGATGTGTGGATATGGGTGTGGGTGTGTGGGTGTGGGGTGGATGTGTGGATGTGGGTGTGGGTGGTGTGTGGGTGGGTGTGGATGTGAGTGTGTTAGAATGGAAGACACACACCCATACCCACATCCACACCCACACTCATACTCACAATCCACACCCACCCCCACACCCTCGAACAACAGCATGTTTGGTCCTTACAGTAGAGGAGAAAGCCTTTACTGATTCATTTTTATACCCCAATTTCATATACCTTAAAATTTATG